ATCCCTTACTCATTAAAATGGCATCCGTAATATCAACTATTGTCATTTGTTCCGTAACATTCACACCAAGTTCCTTTGCTAGAACACACATATCTTGTTTACGTCCTTTAGCAAAAAACGACATGATGACGTGTTTCCACTTAAAATGAATTCTTTGATGAAAAAAAAATTTTATTGTGGCACTAACTAGAAAGTTGTAATGAGGTCACCTTACTCAGAAACTATTTTTAGTAATTTTACCATAGAATAGCACTATAGTAAAGTTAGTTGTATCAAAAGTGACAGTCAAAATAATATATAAGAAAGGACTCTCATCCTTAAAATAAAACATTTTACAGGGTTTAGAAATAGCACAGTTTAAAAAACATCGATAAAATACTTTTCCGTTAATTATTTCTATTCTCAAAGAACAGAATAAAATATTCATGAATAGCTATACACATATGAAACTAAAAGAATTACGCACATCTGAAACGTATATCAATCAGTATAAAAAAAATAACATTTTATCAGGAAGAATCATACGCTTCCTTAAATCATCAAATATAAACAATTTTCAGTGATGTAGATGTAAGCGGAAATGGAAGAAAAAAATATCAATAAATAAAACCGTTATGGAGGCGCAAGGGTAATAAACATGTCACTGCGTCACTGGTTCGTCAAGTGAAGCTCAAATAGAAACTACATTTATAAGATTGAATACATTCAGCATTAACAATTTGTAATACTGAATTTTACTCATAAAATGCCTCGCTTTGAATATATTATACCTTTTTATGTTTTACCACATTTATCATTTCGAAACAAAACTGAATATTATGATTATGCAGTTCTAGAGCACTCATGTGTAAATAGAATGAAAGAATTTCTTAATCACTTCAAAATGATAAAATATTCATGAAAGATACACATATATACTTTAAGAACACAGTAAAGTATTTTTACATTTTCATATTTAAGTATTTTCACGTTTTCAACATTAAGGGTTAACACATTATAAAACCTTAGTGTTTAAATGCAAAACAAGTCATATCATTAATGACAACTATTTGTTGCTGATAGGCCATCAGAATGGCACACAGGGGGGGGGGAAACTGACGGGCGAGGTATCTCCTTTCCTAAAGTTTTAGGTATTAGATCCAGTGGATGTGGCTGCAAGTACCGCTTCTGAAAAAGAAAGTGAGCAAAAGCCAAGGAAAATTCCCAAAGCTAAACATTAACATTGGGCGTCACTTTTTAGATAGGGTCATAGAAGAGTCCGGTATAGTGCAACAAATATTTATTAACAGGTTTAAGTTACACACGGACATTACGTTTAACTTTAAGAAAAAATTCCAGAGCAACAGTCTGGTACAACCTATCAAGTGGGAGCCTTGGCTTTTACTCAAGTACTTCTCTGGCTACTCACCAGAGGGCATCCTTGTTGTCACAGTTAGTCCAACAGTTTACGTTAAGGCATTGGTTACAAAGACCTTTATTACTGATACCTGGCTCTAAATAGTGTCAATACTGAACCATCTTTCCTATAAGTCATTGGTTACCCTTCTCACTCTCTTCACTCTCTAAAGACTATGGAATGAGCGCATCTTTCCCAGTGTATTGAAGAAAGCTGTTGTTATTCCCATATTTAAGTCTAGGGAAGACATGAAGAATCCCTCAAAAGATTGGCTCATTATGCTTATGAGCCGTATTTGCAAAGTATTTGAAAAAAATGGTATACCACCACTTAGTTTGTTATTTGGGGGCTGGATCGGAAAACATAATCTCACCTTCTAGAAACCACTCTTAGAAACAAAGAGCGAACTGGAGCAGTTTCGTTCTCTGTTGTTGTTTTGGAGCGGTTGCTATAAAAATTTTCACACTTATTTGATGAGGCCTCAAGGTTGACTCAGGTGGTAAATCACACAACAAAAACTGGAAATCTGCCAAGCTAAACCCTACTGCTCTGATAAGGTCAAGGAAGAAATAATCAAACAACATATTGCAGAAATACTAAAGAAAACAATTATAGTCCCCATAAGTAGCCCTTACGCTAGCTCTATAGCTCCAAAAGAAAAATAATCTCCCACCTACTGATTTTAAAGCATAGCGTTTTGTTATTGATTATAAGAAATTAAATAGCATAAAGAAATCTTGTTTACCTCTTACCAATAATTGAGGAAATAATTTTAAACAATCAAATCCTTAAAATGCTGGATAACACTAGACCTCGCCTTTGGGTACTTTCAGATATGTGCGAAACCAGAGGATATGCCAAAAACCACTTTTGTTGCCAAATCAAGAGTTTATGCTTTTTTTAGAATGCTGTTTGGCTTACATGGAGTACTTGTCACATTTCAAAGAGCTATGGATATTATTCTAAGGCATGTTTTTGAAAATCAGCATTTGTTTACATAGAGTATGTAATAGTTACTAACTAGAAAACTGATGGACATATTCAGGATTTACACAAAGTGTTTTTGGTTCTACAAAAAGCAGTGAAAAAAAATTAATGCAGCCAAAGAACTTATGTACCTAAATTACCTGGGCTGTAAGATATCTCAAAGGGGAATTAAAATGGAAGCTTCTAAAATCTTAGCTATCAGAAACTATCTCTTACCTAATACAGGAAAGAAGTCGACCTCATTTTGGGGCTTGTGCTTTAGTTATAGGACTTATCATTAAGATGAAATATTTATAACAGATACACTATTAAACTTTAAAAAAAGTTCCTGTTCACCTGGTTGGCAGAAACAAACATGGCATTTGAAAGCACCATTAATTCAAGCTCCCATCTTGAAATTTTCTGAAGCAAACAGTACATTTAAAATCTTTGCAGATACATTGGATATTGTGGTAGGAGCCAAGCTTATGCAAGACAGACAGGCAGCTGCATATTTCAGAAAAACATTTAACCCAACTCAAGGAATTATACCACTACTGAGGGAAAACATTAGCAACATTAGCAGTCCTTTTAGTACAGAAACTTTGAGTGGGTTTTGGGAAGGTTGCAATTGCTGTGTTTATAGACCATGCAGCTATTGTTCATTTTTGTTTAGTAAGTATTTAGTTTTTGTAAGAATTTATCTCCCAGACTGATACAGTGCATCCTTAAATTGCAAGAGTATAATTTTTAATATTTAGACATACTCCCGGGAAAGAAAATGCTATAGTGGATTCTCTATCAAGAATTAAACTAGATGGTGAGGAGAACAAAGTGAAATGTGCACTGTTAACTTAAAAAGTTTTAAATTTTCAAGAAGCATTTATTGAAGAACCACAGGCAGACCCAGAGTTTAAAATTTATGCATATTTGAAAGATCCTGACCACTTTGAACACCATGATAATGACAGATATTAGCAACAGAGCTGCAAATTATGAAATTATTGAAGATCTTTTATTTTATTACAAAAATAATATTACATTAAACCAGTTATCCCATTGAGTATCAGATTAAGTATTTTGCAGGAACTGCATGATGTGCAAATTTTAAGCCATTTCAGAATAAGAAAAACATTTTAGAGAGTAAGGGAGGCTGTTTTGTTTTCCACAGCTACAAAAATATATAACTGAATATATCAACTCCTGTAACATTTATTTGTCAATTAGTTAACAATATTTATTTAAGGTCACCTGGTACCTAAATAGCATAAAAGCTACTTTCCCTGATTAATTAATAGGAATTGACCTGTTAAGTTCCTACCCACATCGTGAAAAAAAATAAAATTGCTCGTAATCACTGATCATGTCGTAAAGTGGGTAGAAATAGTTCCCGTCGAAAGAGCGTCCACTAACATTGTTGCAGATACATTTTGAAATAAATTTATATTAAAATATAGAGCTCCATTTAAAATAATATCAGATAATGGAAAATTTTCGAGGATGCATGAACGTTTCTGAACATTCAGTAGCAGAGTAATAAAGCATTGCATCACTTTAAAATTAAAAAATATCAAAATTGTTGTCAAGAATATCATAGCATAATATATCATAGCATAATATAACAATTTTAATAGATAAACATATATAATGTTTATCTATTAAAATTGTAATATTAAAATGGTAATAATGTTAATCTATTAAAAAAAAGGATTACAGCCATTTCTCTGTTTCTGGCTTCCAGTTGGGGGGGGGCATCCATTAACATCTTCCGTGAAATGAACGAGCGCAATACAAAGTCCTCTACAAGAAGTGCATGAAAAACCTGAATGTGGCAGGTAACTTTCTTAATGGAATAATGCTGAGTTCTCAAAATAATTGTTTGAGTTGCATCAAATTCTAGTTTATGTCTTTGTGTTAGAACTTCTGTCTTATTTTATTTCTGAATAATATTATCCAGCACATATTTTGTTCAAAATCTGTTGACCAGTAACAATAACAAATGGAAGAGAAATAAATTGATGCTGGCTTCTGTTATACCTGCTTTGTGGAATTTCTGCTGAAACTTATTCTGGGTTTTAATTTACTCCTGACTCCAGACTAAAACAAATTTTTATTTGTCAGCATGATTCCCATTACAGGCAAGAAAAACAATGTCTTCAGTATTTTGAAGGAAATATATCAGGATTTTTTAAATACTCCAAGTTTTTTAGTTCATGTAATATAAGCATGTATCTTCACAATAATACTAAACTGAATCTGATGATAGTAATAAGAACATTTATTCTGACCATAGTAGTAAGATCATTTATTTTGAATACTGATTATGTGCCTATTTGTATTACTGAGTACATATTTTCAGCCATTGTTCTGAAAGAATATTAACAACTCTAAATGAAGAGGAGAAGCATTTATCTTATTCTGGAAATTTGAGGAAATTTTTAGATAGTATATTTGTGATAAGATGTTCAGGATTTACCGAAAGATATGGTCATTTATTACTTGGCTGTTTAAATTTGCTAAGTCTATTTTTATGATGATGTATGAAAAAATTTACTTTAGTTTATTATTTAGAATTTTCTAAAATATTGAGCAAGTTGATTTTTTTATTTTTATTTATTTATTTATTTATTTTTTGTAGGATGCATCCCCCAATGATTGCAGTTGGGATTGATGAGTCTCAGCAAACTGCTGGTGGCAAAGTAGTTCTTTGTGAATATAATGAAAACAGTAGGCGCTGGCTTCGTGTTGAAACATTACCAGTCAATGATCCTGTGTATGATATAGCCTTTGCTCCAAACCTAGGACGATCATACAACCTTTTAGCAGTAGCAACAAAAAACTTACAGATATTTATTGTAAAGCCTGTAGAGTAAGTAAATTTTTTTAAACACTTCCAGCATCCATTTATACGTTAAATTAAAGCATTATTTAAAATTTCTTTGAAATTCAATTAAAATGACTATACTTCTAACTATAATTGTTATTAGTTACTTCTTCTATAATACTAATACTTCCTACTATAATTGTTAATGAAGCTTGGTAACAGTACTTCATTTAATAATATAACATTTTATAGCAATTGCGTAGATGAAAGACCTATTTGGTCTTAAAAATTTTGCGCATAATGCTGCAAAAAGATATGAAATAATAGTAGTAGGTAGAAACATTGCAGCGATCTTGCTAAAAAGTTACCAGGAGCTGTACCTCCACGAAATATTTAACGTAGTATACAAACAATAAAAACTAAGAAGAAATTTGTTACCTACTACTATTATTTTATATATATATTATATATGTACCCCCTCTATTACTCGGCTCTGTGAGCTCTTTTTTTTTTTTTTTTTTTTTTTTTTTATTCTTATGTATTACTAAATTGTGCAGTTTTTTTTTTTTGGCTTTCAAAAATGAATTATATTGTTTTCTTATTTTCCGGTTAAGGTTTTTTATGCCTTTCGTTAATCTGCAGGTAATAGTTGTAGCATGATCAACAATTTAAAAGTTCAAAATCGTAAAACAACCTTATATTTAGCGTAGGTATAATGAAACACTCAATCGATTTCGAGAGCAGCTAAAGGTCCCCTCCTCATCAGGAGAAAAAATACATAGAAAGAAGAAAATAGGAATCACAGAAACACGTGGTGCTTATCAGCATGCACGTGGTTATAACTAGATTTTTATCAAGTTGCACGGCCGCCTACTTTTACTGAGCCAGGCTGTCTGATCAAGCATAAAGAAATATTAGCGAAGTTAAAATAGGGAGCGAGGGGCAAAGCACATTACGCTCAAAATCTGAACTTCAAATAATGGAAGCAACCACTGAACGGATTTTTTATACCCTCTGGTAGTACCAAGGGCGAGGAGGTAAATGCCATCTATCGGCAAAAATAATTGAATTAAGACAGTAGAATTTTAAAAGGCATTAGGAAAGGACTGGATTGGACTTCAAATCATTAACTAAACTTTCTAAATCTTTGTGAATGTGAAAAGCCTCAAGAAAATCCAATTCGCCTATTGGATGAAGCCTTTTGGATGATTTTTTGCAGACCCAAAATCAAAATTATGGTTAAAAGTCCAGCTATGATACGCTATTGAAGACTTGTTAATTTCCCCTTTTTTGACATAGATTCATGTTCCTTGATACGAAACTTCAAACGCTCTTTTTGTTTGGCCAATATATCCTTAAACCACACTGACATGATATACTATAAATTCCCCCAAAGAATTCAAGACAAATGTAATCTTTTAGAATCGAAGGGTGAATTTTATTAATAGGGGAGGAAACCGACTTGAAAATTGAATTTCTGGAGAATCCGTGCAATTTTATAGCTAACAGAAGGATAAAAATGGAAGCACGACAAGGTCATTGATATTATTTCTGACAGTAGAATGTCTTCTTTGATGGGAAATCTGAAAATTTTTTGACGGCTTTATCAATAATCACGGGAGAAAATCCCGGTAGGGGGAAATCCAAATCGAACTGCTCTCAAATAATTAGTTCATTGGTAAGCAAAGATTCAGAGGAACAAACTTTAGCGCGCGGAAAAAACATAATAGTAAAAAGAAGCCATTTTTTTTCTTAACAGGGTGGCATGACTTGGCATGGGGTGGTAAACAACTGCAAGGGTTTACTGTACCACAGTGGTGCTAAAAATCGGTTTCATTGCGGATTATAAGATATCGAGGAAGGGGAGGGAATTTTGGATTCAATTTCAAGAGTGAATTGGATGGCTGGATCAATTGAATTCATATAGATAGAATCTCAGATAATCCTCCTTTATAACCGTCAAAAAGTGCGAAAGTGTCGTCAACATACCGAATCCAAAGACGAAAGATAATTATCAATAATTTCATCTCAAATAGTGCATATAAATGTCAGCAAGTACCGGACTGAGAGGATTACCCATTGCCAATCCTTCAACTTGACGAAAATATGCATTTTGGAAAACAAAGTGGGTTTGACTTAGAGAAACTTTAGTAAGCGAAACCAACTCATTAATTTCAGTATGTGTGAAGTGAAATTCCCGAAGCCTAGTTTCAAGACAATTTAGTGCTCCTTCGACCGGAACATTAGTAAACAATGATTTGACATCAAATGAAACCACAATGGAACGAAGTGGGGAAATATTTCTAAGTTTATCAATGACTTCAACAGAATTTTTTACAGTGTGAATATTGTTATCAAGTAGAGGAGAAAATCTGGAAACTAAATATTTGGCCAAAGGATATGAACCAGTACCTATGTTGGAAACAATTGGTCGAAAAGGAATACCGGTTTTGTGGACTTTTGGAAGAGCATAAAGTCTAGCGCAATTAGTAATAGGCGGAATAAGTTGATTTCTTCAACTGAGTTTGGCAGAATGTGGGAAGATTTAAGCACTTTTTACTTTCATGAGGTCCGAAGTTGAAGGATCTTTAGGGATCGAGCAGTATGGGCCTTCATTTATCAATTTAGAGACTCCAGTAATAATGTGTGTTTTGTCCATAACAACGATCTGTCCGCCCTTATCAGCTTTAGAGATAATGATATTAGTATCAGAATGAATTTCATGTAAGATCTCATTTTCCTTTTGCTAAGATTAGAACCCAAAGATTTATTGTTAAAATTAACGTTATGAGTAATTAGGTGGCGGATTTTATCCTTCTGCGTTTCCGAAATTTTTCGAGAATTTAAAAGGCTTTCTCTATAGGGGCGATGATTTGAGGAATTGAAGGTTGGATGTCTTTGAAAAGTTGAAATTATATTTAATACTCTTAACTGATCCTCCGAAAGATTCCTATTGGAGATATTAACAATGGAGTTAACGTTTACAGTGGGAAGATCAGCTAGATAATTGGACTATCCCGACGGTGTGTGAGTTTTTGGAATTTAGAAATGAGCACATTTTTATGCCGTTGACAAACGGTATCGTTCTAGACCAGGATGTATGTTTCAAATGAGGAAAAATTTTCAGTGGAATTAGCAATTTTAAATGGAGGTAATATATTCAAATTCAATTTTTAGATAAACGTTTGCGTGTGTCCCTTATAATGTGACGAAGAAGTGCCAATTTGAATTTATGCAAAATTTTTGAAAACGTGAACGGAAGCTTTAAGGCTACATTTCACATGTATAAATTTGGGAATGAAATTTTGATGTTTGCATTTAAGTAGTAACTGCAGATGATTTAAGAATTTCGTACGCTTAAGGCGTAACTTACAAAATCGGTTCCTGTCAGTCGGACATATTGTGAAAAGGGGTACAAGCAAGAAACAAGTGAACAAAAGAAATGTAATTCCAAAAGTCCAAACAAGTAATTACTTATAACATGAAAAAAACACCAATAAATAATGAAGACAATTTTCATCAACAAATCACAAAAACATTCCAAAAGGAGAGAAACATTCAATACTGAAAACCAATAGCCACGTGGAAAGAAGCAACGAAAGTCAAAATTGTGCACATGGTAAACCGAAAAAATATAGAATTACCTCGAAAATGCCGGTTGATAGCATAAACCAAATCCAAAAAAATGATGGCCACATGGAAAGAGTAAATAAAATGGGCACGTGGTAAAACAATAAACAGTAAAATATTCTCGAAAATGCGGTTGATAGCACAACTAGACTAGAAGAGAAACACCTAATGTGACAATCAAAATCGTAAAAAACAACTTTATATTTAGCGTAGGTATAATGAAACACTCAATCGATTTTGAGGGCAGCTAAAGGTCCCTCCTCATCAGGAGAAAGAAATACATAGAAAGAAGAAAATAGGAATCACAGACACGTGGTTGCTTATCAGCAACTGCACGTGGTTATAACTAGATTTTTATCAGAGTTGCACTGGCCGCCTACTTTTACTGAGCCCGGCTGGCTGATCAAGCATAAAGAAATATTAGGAAGTTAAAAATAGGGAGCGAGGGCAAATGCACATTACGCTCAAAATCTGAACTTCAAATAATGGAAAGCAACCACTGAACTGATTTTTTATACCCTCTGGTAGTACCAAGTGCGAGGAGGTAACGCCATCTATCGCAAAAATAATTGAATTAAGACAGTAGAATTTTAAAGGCATTAGAAGGACTGGATTGGACTTCAAATCGTTAACTAAACTTTCTAAATCTTTGTGAATGTGAAAAGCCTCAAGAAAATCCATTCGCCTATGGAAGAAGCATTTTGGATGATTTTGCAGACCCAAAATCAAATTATGGTTAAAAGTCCAGCTATGATATGCTATTGAAGACTTGTTATTTCCCTTTTTTTTGACATAGGTTCATTTCCTTGATACGAAACTTCACCGCTCTTTTTGTTTGGCCAATATATCTTAAACCACACTGACATGATATACTATAAATTCCCCAAGAATTCAAGACAACTCAGTTGAAGAAATCACTTATTCCGCCTATTACTAATTGCGCTAGACTTTATGCTCTTCCAAAAGTCCACAAAACCGGTATTCCTTTTTGACCAATTGTTTCCAACATAGGTACTGCTTCATATCCTTTGGCCAAATATTTAGTTTCCAGATTTTCTCCTCTACTTGATAACATATTCACACTGTAAAAAATTCTGTTGAAGTCATTGATAAACTTAGAATATTTCCCCACTTCGTTCCATTGTGGTTTCATTTGATGTCAATCATTATTTACTAATGTTCTGGTCGAGGAGCACTAAATTGTCTTGAAACTATGGCTTCGGGAATTTCACTTCACACATACTGAATTAATGAGTTGGTTTCGCTTACTAAAGTTTCTCTAAGTCAAACCCACTTTGTTTTCCAAATGCATATTTTCGTCAAGTTGAAGGATTGGCAATGGGTAATCCTCTCAGTCCGGTACTTGCTGACATTTATATGCACTATTTTGAGATGAAATTATTTGATAAATTCTCTTTTCGTCTTTGGATTCGGTATGTTGACGACACTTTCGCACTTTTGACGGTTATAAAGAGGATTTATCCGAGATTCTATCTATTATGACATCAATTGATCCAGCCATCCATTCACTCTTGAAATGAATCCAACAATTCCCTCCCCTTCCTCGATATTCTTATAATCCGCAATGAAACCGATTTTAGCACCACTGTGTACCGTAAACCCTTTGCAGTTTGTTTACCACCCCATGCCAAGTCATGCCACCCTGTTAAGCAAAAAATGGCTCTTTTTACTATTCTGTTTTTCCGCACGCTAAAAGTTTGTTCCTCTGAATCTTTGCTTACCAATGACTTAATTATTGAGAGCATTTGCGATTGACCGTGGATTTTTCTCCCGTGATTATTGATAAAGCCGTCAAAAAATTTCAGATTCCCATCAAGAAGACATTCTACTGTCAAATAATCAATGACCTTGTCGTGCTTCCATTTTATCCTTCTGTTAGCCATAAATTGCACGGATTCTCCAGAAATTCAATTTTCAAGTCGGTTTCTCCGCTATTAATAAATTCACCCTTCGTTCTAAAATTGCGTTTCTGTCTTGAATTCTTGGGGAATTTATAGTAGATCATGTCAGTGTGGTTTAAGATATATTGGCCAAACAAAAAGAGCGTTGAATTTCGTATCAAGGAACATGAATCTTATGTCAAAAAAGGGGAAATTAACAAGTCTTCAATAGCGTATCATAGCTGGACTTTTAACCATAATTTTGATTTTGGGTCTGCAAAAATCATCCAAAAGGCTTCTTCCATAGGCTAATTGGATTTTTCTTGAGGCTTTTTTCACATTCACAAAGATTAGAAAGTTTAGTTAATGATTTGAAGTCCAATCCAGTCCTTCCTAATGCCTTTAAAATTCTACTGTCTTAATTCAATTATTTTTGCCGATAGATGGCGTTACCTCCTCGCACTTGGTACTACCAGAGGGTATAAAAATCCGTTCAGTGGTTGCTTTCCATTATTTGAAGTTCAGATTTTGAGCGTAATGTGCATTTGCCCCTCGCTCCCTATTTTTTGACTTCGATGATAGTTTTGCGTTTTAGTCTATGTGTTGTATGTTTGATCAGACAGCCTGGCTGAGTAAAAGTAGGCGGCCAGTGCAACTCTGATTAAAAATCTAGTTATAACCACGTGCAGTGCTTGATAAGCACTACGTGTTTCTGTGATTCCTATTTTCTTCTTTCTATGTATTTCTTTCTCCTGATGAGGAGGGACCTTTAGCTGCCCTCGAAATCGATTGAGTGTTTCATTATACCTACGCTAAATATAAGGTTGTTTTTTACGATTTTGATTGTCACATTAGCGTGTTTCTCTTCTAGTCTAATTTAAAAGTTGTTTAAGAGCAGCTAAGCCTAATTTTTTTACCACAGCAGCCATATTTGTTTGCATTTGAAACTTGGCAGAATAGTGAATTAAGTCAGTTTCTGCACCTTCAGTGTGTTTTTGCCGAGTGGGACCAAAAATAAACTTTGTTTTGTGCACGAAAAAAATATGCGTTCTTGCCCTCTGACCGAATTGCGTGTTTTTGCATAGAAACTCTTAATTTTATTTGTTAAAATTTTTTTAAATTGTTTTAACTGTATTTGGTGCTTTATGTTTTTCTATATTTTTCAATTTTTAATGAAGGTATTTTGATATTTAATGTATTTTTGCCTTTTCTATGAAGTTAGAACTGAATTAATTGAATGCGAAATAATATCTTTAATGAATTTCGAGGAAATAAGTTTAAATGAAATGCAGCAAAAAATGCGTATAATTTAATATTCCGTACAAGGAAGTCGTGGTGTCCACATCAGTTTTTTTCAATAGTTGGGGATTAGTTATATACTTCATTTTGAGTAATACTGTCATTTCTGAGAATGTATTATTTAAAGTGATCTGTTATTTGTGCAATTTAAAGGTGTATCCAAATATTTACGGAAAAGTTTTGTAATGTATGTTAGATTCCCCCCCTAAAGTTTTTCACATATTCTCATTAGAATTTCATAAAATCATATATTCAGGGATGACTTTTAAGTGATAAACACCAGTATTTCAAAAATATCTTTTTAAAAATTGAAATACATAATTGTATTTTTTAGCATATTTTAATACAGAGACCCCTTGATTTCTTAACTGAATTTCATAAAGTATCTGAGAGGTAACACATCCTCTTAAATTTACTAAGCCTTATGTTTGGACTTTTTTTCCCCCCAATCAGACAAATGCAGCTGCAAACAACTTCATTTTCAAATCTTTTCATTAGAGCAGATGTATGCAAGCATAAATTTTAATCTTATTCTTATAGATATCATCAAGAATAGTGCACATTTTTTCATGTGAGTCTTTGGATGTCAGTTAGTCTTTTTTAATATGCAAGGTTGTGTTATATCATAGTACTCCTGATGCATTCATTTATTGATATTAATCCTTTGCCAGATGTGAAGATACTCATTGGGAGTGAAACAAATCAGTTAGGCATATGATTGCCTCATCTATTGATATTAATCCTTTGCCAGATGTGAAGATACTCATTGGGAGCGAAAAAAAATCAGGCATATAATTGCATCATTGAAGAACACTTAAAACCAAAACAGTGCCTGAGAAACTAAACCTGATTTTAGATTAAGTACTGAATGTTGCAAATTATGTAAAGCAAAGAACTGAACTAGCTATTTAAGGAATATGCATGATACAAATTCAGTAAAATCATGAATAGCATTTTGGTAGGTAAGGCAAGTATTCTAGAAATATGTGTTTTAAGCTTATTGTTTTTTCCCCATGTAATTAAATGAAAAGTAGTTCAAAATGGTGAGAATAGCATCATTAATTTCAAAAGTATCCAGGTTTTGTCCTTGCTGATTAAATTTTGAAAATCTCTGAAATTTATTTAAGTTTGTTTCAGTCTCTGAGTGGATGAAAAGAAATATTTCAGGGTATGGTGTGAAGTGTTTTAGTAGATATTATGGATACTGTCTATCAGATTTTGCTCTAGAATTAAATTGAGGGTTCTAACCATCTGACACCAGCTTTTGGATAAATATACACATAGCAAATTTAGTATTGAATTAAAAATAAGTTATTTTTGTAGTTTGTAGCTTTTATAATGTATTCAGAATAGTTAAATAGAAGTGTAGAATTTATGCTTTATCTGCAACAAATTGTATGTATGAATAATATGTTGTTTTTATGTCCTAGTGATCAAACTGGAACTGGTGTACAGGAAGTCAGTTCAAAGTATGAAATTAGGCAAGCAGGGCAATTTGATAATCATAATTCACAGGTTATTATTATTTTAAATTTTATTAACATTTTCCTTTTCTTTTTTGTAAATTATTTCATGTAGATTGACCA